ACAACAACAAACAATAATAATAATTATAAAGCGAATATTAATTTTATTAAATCTTCACGAATAAAAAAAAAAAAAAAAAAAAAAAAAATTGGGAGTTAAACACTTTGAAAAAAAATTTTTTTTATATAAACATTCTAAAAATATTTACGTAAAAAATTATTATCATTATTATTATTATTATTATTAACTATTATTTAAATTTTCTAATTTGAATAAAATTTGTATTAAAAAAAAAATAAAAATAAATAAAATCAAATCGATAGATGAGAGCTTTAAATATAAAATTGAAAAATTTTGTTTTAATACAAATGCAATAATATAAATATATATTATTACCATTATTTTAAATTGTGTACAAAGTATAATTAAATTGTAAAAAAAAGAAAACGGAAAATTATTATTATTATTATTGTTTGTGATTGATTGATTTATTTATCGATTAAAAAAAAATTGATTAATTAAAAAAAAAAAAAAAAATTATTGTAAAAGTTTTATCGATTGTATAATAAAAAGGAAAGAAAAAAAATAAAATATGTATAATAAAGTTTATTATTATTATTTATAAGTATTTAAAAAAAAAAAATTTTCTAAAAGATTTATTGAATCGTTTGTTTGTTTGTTTGTTTGTTGTAAAATTCGACAGGTGCGTTTGGTTTTATAACAGATATATAACAGGTAAGTTGTTGTCATCATCGTCAGTGTTGAAAAGTATTTCATTCGAAACGTTTGTCTCGCGTTTATGATTTTATAGTGAAAAAAAAAAAAAAAAAAATTAATTCGTTTTAAGTTAATTGATACAATTAGTTTTTAAGTGTGGGAAATGAAATTTCGATCGTTTTCCTTCATTAATTAGTAAGTCAATTTTTCAATTAATTAATTTTATTGTAAATCCATGCTTGGCAATTTTTTTTTTTTTTTTAAATTAAATTTCTACTTATTTAAAATTTTATTCCGCGATTGCTCCCCGACGGAATTTTATCGAACTATGTGGAAAATATTAGAATTTTAGTTTGGAAAAGCGACAATAGATGTCTTTTTACGCGAACACTGCACTGCCGTATTAGAAATTATTGGTTGAATTACATTTCACAAACAACCGCACACTCACACACACACACACACGCAGCATCTGTTTCCTGCTGTGAGACATTATCTAAATCAAGATAAAAACAGTCAGAATCATTGTGAGAAAATTTCACTTTTTTATGAAAAGAAGGAGGCGTTATAAACTAAGTTAATAAAAATTTTCTTATAGAGGTAGGGGTAGCGGGGGTTAAAATAAAAAATAAAAATTCAAAAATACGTAAATTTAAATATATAATTTCAATGAAGAATAATAATAATAAAATTTTCCACGTTACTTTCGTTGAATTTTCTTTTTTTTTTTTTTAAAATGTAGGTCAAATAATATTCGAATGAATTCGTTGTTATTATTATATTTTACGAAACGTCAACTCCGGTAATTTTTTTTTTAATAAAAAAAAAACTCAATTAAATGTTGGAAGAGGGGGAGAGAGAGGAGAAATTCAACGGGGGAAAAAAAAATGTTGTCATTTTCAGTAAGGGTAAAAGCAAGCATATGTTGTTTTGTTTTTATTGTTACAACCGGAAACAATGTTTAAATCCCGGAAGTGTGACATATGATTCGTATCGGGATTTTAAACAAAAGGTTTTTTTTTACTCGAATACAATTATACAAAAAAAAATTCATAACAATAACTCGTTTTTCTGGTAACCTCGATCGAACAACCCCCCCCCAAAATAAATAAACTCAATAAGTAATAATTTCGGTCGGTTTTCCTTTTTTTTTTTTTAAATTAAAAACTCGTTTTCGGAAAAAAATATATATTTTTTTTTCATTCATTCCCGTATCCCTTTTCCCCGTTTTTGAATTTCAAAATTCACCCCCTCCCGTCTCCCCCGAATTTTTTTTTAAATTTTATTTTAATCAAATTCGACTTTCGCACATGCATACCACCCACATCAGGAAAAAAAACAAACGAAAAAATTATTTGGAAATGAAATTAATTTAATTTTAATCAAACATTTCCCCTTTCCTTCTCTCTCCCCCACTTCCTCCCAACCGTTCCGCGTCTGCCTGTGCGTGTGCGTGTCTACAATCCATCAAACCGTTAACCGATTATGTTAACCGACGATGTTTTTTTTTGTATTTTTTTCTGTTTTAAATCAAATTAAACGTTTTTTAAACGATTTAAAAAAAAAACGGACGTGCGTGTGTTCTACAGGGGGTAGGGAGGAGGGGGGAAGAAAAGGCAAAATGGAAGAAAGATGTGGGGGGAGAGGAGGAAGAAGGCAAAAGCTGTTGGGTGGTTAAATCCGTAGAAACCTTCGAGCTAAATAACAACTTGTTTGTTGAATTTTTTTTTTTTTTTCTATACATAATGAATTTTACACATTAATTAATGAATCTCCAAATGTTGTTGCTGTTGTTTGTTTGTTTGTTTTTGTAGATTTTTTCTTTCGCATTATTATTATTAATTATTATTATTAGTTATAAATAATGTTATTATTATTGTTTATTTAATTTTAATAACCCATCATCGAGTTTCCCCGTGCTTGTTTCATTTTTTTTGCAGTTTTACTTCCTGGTCGTTTTTACCTGAATTCTAATATTGAAATATTATTATTATTATTATTATTATTATTTAGGCGCGTTGAAATCGTTGAAAACGCCATGATGTATATACGTCATAAAATTATTTAAACTTTTGACACATGTCGTCGTTTTTTGTCTTTTATATATATGTATAAACAAACGAATATTCTTTTGTATAAAATTTTACAAAACTGTGGAGGCGAGTAAAAAAGGTTTGTTGGAAAAAGGTTTGGAGAGTTTGAAACAAAAAAAAATTATACGTGTGTGTGTGTTTGTATTCATTATTTACCGATTGTTTCTTGATATGGAGCAAAATAATAATAATAATAATAATAATAATAATAATAATAAAAACAAACAAATCCAAAAAAAAAGAAGAGAAAAATTCTAGATTTTATGGTTTTTT